GCATTTCAGAATGATACAAATTAAATTAAAAAAAATTAGAAAAACGGTTCACCCTAAAGGCCATCCGTGCAACTTCCCGCTAATTCCATTCCTGGACGCTTAAAATTGTACCTATGACATTTTTGAGATTTTTGAGCTCAAAATATAATTTATGTGATATTTTGAGCTCGCTGAGTTCGAAGAAATAATATTTCTATGGGGAAGAGGTCGATTACCTACAGACCAATGAGTTAGATTACCGGTGACTTAGATTCCGATTACCTAGATTTCCATAACCCAGAATCCGATTACCCAAATTATCAATGATGTAGAATTCCTATGGGGTAGATTACCGATTACCTAGAATCCCGATTACTTAGAATCCGATTGTCTAGAAATTTGATTGGATATAATTCCTATTACACTGAAATCCGATTGCCTATAATTCTGATAATTTACAATTCCTATCGCATAGATTTCTTATACCTTGACAGAAAAAAGTTAATCTGGATAGATGGCGCCATATGTAACAAAACTTTCATTTCATTATAAAATTTAAAATTATTTTTATTTAGCGACAATATAATCAGATATGTTCATTTTATATTAATAACGGGAAATATTAATTTAAATAATTCGTTTCTTTATTTTCCTTTTTAAACAATTATATTTTAATAAGATTGTCGAATAAGTAATCAATTAAAATAAAAATGAGCTTTAAACGACGATTTTAAGTGGACCTCTAATCATGGACTTAGCGCTATGCGACGACTGCTGCTGTCATACATGAATGTTTCAGAATGCGGCTTTTGAAAACACGAGGCTTCAATATTTTTTTTAATATCTGTTAGGGATTGTAAGTTATCAGAATTATAGGCAATCGGATTTCAGTGTAATCGGAATTATATCCAATCAAATTTCTAGGCAATCGGATTCTAAGTAATCGGGATTCTAGGTAATCGGTAATCTACCCCATAGGAATTCTACGTCATTGATAATTTGGGTAATCGGATTCTGGGTTATGGAAATCTAGGTAATCGGAATCTAAGTCACCGGTAATCTAACTCATTGGTCTGTAGGTAATCGACCTCTTCCCTAAGACAGGTAGGAGAGTAAAGCGCCAAATTTTAAAAGTATGTACGAATGAGTGTGAATATTGTAAAGAGTATGCTAGAGTGAGAGCGACATGAATTTAGAGCGATCAGAAAAACCCGAAGATTTCACGGAGCCATCGACGACCGGTAAGACATCTGGACGACGACGTTAGAATGAGGCAAATTCAAATCGGCCAATGACGACAGCGTTTGAGCAATTTCAGTCGAGCAAGGCGCCATCTGCATCCTGAAATCTGAACCGAGCGGCACATCGACCAATCATCGATCGCAACGGAATACTGGACGCATCCCGCAATACAACGGCCGGCTAGAAGAAGCTGTAAGCTGATTGGATGCGAGTTTTTGGTACCAACGGAAAAGAAAAGAGCACGTGTTGCCTAGGAGGCAGCCATATTGAAAATCAATTCTGATCTGGACGCCGTACCTGTTGGTGGAACAAATTTTGATACGCGTATAAAATTACAGTGAAACGTAATTACAATTCGTTTTGTTAAAATAAAATTTTACCAATCGTAATTTGTGGCCTCGTTGCGGATTTTTTTACGACCGCTCACGTTTTGTGTGAAATTGCCGAGTGCCAGTTATTTTTTTTTGCCAACAAGTGCACATGGGAGACGCCATCGCCGAGCAGTCGACGCCAGTCCGCCAGTCTTCCCGCCAATTAAGGGTGATTTTTGACGAGCCAACGCTGACCTCGAGGAGTTACTGCAGTCACAGGGTAAGTCTGAAAGCTGATTTTAAGACCCAGGGTGTCCTCACCGCGAGTGTGTAATTAAGAAAGTTACAATTCACCAGTATTTTTTTTTATTTTATTATTATTGGTGCAATAATTATTGTTCGATTTTAGTGTCGATTTCTTTTGTGTGAGATCAGTAAATTCCTAGCGGAATTATCACAGGGTGGGTGACGACACTCTCAGGCACGGTACCATTGGTTTGTGTGAACGTGTGTGTGTGTTCGTGACCTCACCACGTGAGAATTTATTACCGCGCTTAGATTAGTGGTATTTATTTTTGGTGTTATTGTATTGAACGTTTGGTAAATTTGGAGTTGTTACGACAACTAGCCCGACTGACGCGCCATCTCCGAGCGCGAGCCTAAATTACCTCGAGCTTCTTTAGTTACCCTCGACTTAATTGATTTACCGACCGTGCGTTGTTATCCGCCGCAACCCGCCGAAATTTTGAAATAGTTACATGTGTCAAATTTAATTTCGTTGATTATTTGAATATTTTTTTTTTGTTGTTTACGGCGATAATTAAATCTATCGTTAATTATGAGTAATTAACTTACTTAGGCGTTAATTTTATTTTGATTATTGAAACTTTTATTAAGATTTTTTTTTATTATTGTTACAAGTGATCAAATTGATGTGAATTAATTATTATTCCGTATTGCTAATTATTAATCACTTTGAGGGTAATTAACTGTTCATTCAGTCGCATTGATAATTATTAACCGTCAAGAATAATTAATTGTTTAAACATTAAGTATTATTACTTTCAATTGATTTTTTTTAATGAATTAAATTGTTTATTCACCGTGCAATTAGTTATTAACCAATTTGAGGTTAATTAATTATTTAAATTATCAAGTATTATTAAATTTCAATTAATTTTAAAATAAATTAAATTGTTATTTCGCCGTATTAATTTTAAGAGATATTAAATGGTTGACTGTGCCGTACAATTAGTTATAAACTAATGCGAGGATTTTGTGAGCCGATGACAGACCGAAGTTAATTATTTTTTTTTTTTTTCATTTCTTTTGCTTTACTCCGATTTCGATTATTTTAGCATCAATTAATTGATTATGTCACCGTAATAGTAATTATAGTATATTATGTTATATTATAGTATATTTCTAATTGCGAATTATCGACTGATCACAGCTATAATTTTTTTTTTGTTATTATTATTGTCGTTAATTTGACAAAAATTAAATCGTTATTATACGAACTTGGCGAAACCTTGAATTATATTGGCGACTACGAGAATAAATTGTTAACTGAGCATTCGATACCTAATTTTTTTTTGCTTCTTTCCTTCCCGAGATTACGTAGATTTAATACTTTTGCTTTCGCCGATTATTCTAATTTTTAAATCTCTTCGTCATCGACCTGCCGCCCGACGACGATCAACGACGACTTCGAACCTTGGAACGGTAAGTTCCTGGCGCCCAACTACCTTCGAAACCCAGGTAAGCCAATTTAGGTGGTGCTCTCCGGCCCTGTCGACGCCAGTGCCGGTGAAAAGACCATTATAGGTTCTGTAACTTGACTATAGCGTTGATTATTGTTAGCTGCATCGTTCTAGTAATTTTATGTTGATTTGAGATCAAGTTTGTTAATTAAATTTACGGTTTATTGAATAAATACGGATTTTGTTCGAATGATAAATTTTTAGTGTTGCGTATAAAATTATTACAATTATGGATCCTCTCTACCCGAACCACCTCCTCTCTCCACAAACCAGCACACTAAGCGACCCCGGGGTATTCCGTCGTCTTTCCAGTTTTTCGTTCTTTGGTCTTTATTTTACGTTAAGTTTCTGTGTTTCCGATTAAGTTTACGTTTTGGCTAGTTTTGATAATTCCTAGCGAATAAAAATTATCTAATTCCGTTTAAGTTTAAGTTTGAGTTCTAATTTCGTTTCAGTTTCAGTTTAACCCTTTAACGCCGAACTTGGACTAAGTGAGCCGCGTGTCACTGGAGTGGGGAGCGTGTAAAGTAAATGTAGAAGGGGGCGTTTCACCAAGAGTGGGGGAAACGCCCATTAGGCTCAAAGGGTTAAGTTTGGGCTAGTTTGAGAATTCCTAGCGAGGAAAAATTCTTTGAGATCCGTGTTCACTGGTTTGGTAATTCCAGTGATTAAAAATTACCTGGCGTCCTAATTTTATTGAGACCAGAGACCAAGAATCGGAAAGAAGACGAAGTATAACCCAGATTTTATTTTTAAAATTAAGTTTAGTCAAGTTCCCGTATACCCTCCTGGAAAATTTGGTTATAGTATATATAATTATATATGCTTATATATAATTAACGTATATAAAAATTTTTTCTTCGAAAAAAAATTTTTTTTGGTAATCAAAAAGTGTAAAATGATGTTTATAATTACGTTTAAATAATTCTAAAATACAAAATTTGTTACATTTCCTATGAGATGTTTTGGTCTGCTCTGCTACTACCTAATAGTAAAATCATTATTTATTTTATTATTTAAATAAGTGTTATATTATAATGAGATTCGATAAAATAAATAAATTATGAATTATGACTATCCAAATATATTATAAAATCAATTTTTATATTATATTTATGATGAACTCATAATACGTTATGTAGATCACAGAATCATCATCATCTAAGACAGCAGCACAGCAGATAGAAACTCCAAGACGCACCAAAATTAGGCAGCATTGAGCAGGGTTAATAGTTGGATGGATGACTGCTGGTGTTATAACCGTCAAATTATATCTAGAAAATTTTTTTTGCATTTTAATTGGTTACTGAGAATTGCCTAGGACCATATTATTCTTCTTATTATTATTATTTCTTTATTCTTCGACCATGAAGTCAAGACTTCTTGCGGCCGTCCATACAAAAATAATACATAGTATATCATTTTATGAAAACAGTCCGAAGAAAAATAGATGTAATAATTAAAGATAGAAAGTGTACATATGTTATTAAAGTCCAAATTATATTTGAACAGTTCAATCAACACAAATGTAAATGTAAATGTAAATCACTCAACCTCATTGCATTTAACAAAAACTCAAGTAATAATGCAATATGAAACAATATGATAATGAGGAAAATAAAATGTCAGACTCTTAGTCAAATATATATATAAATATAAACATAAATAAACTCAGATCGATATTAAGTATAAATTGCACAGTAGCTTATGATCTATCCACACTCAAAAAGTACTCGTAGGTTAGTCTGCGAAATTCCACAAACGTTAGCGCCGACGTACATTGCACTGGTAGTCCATTCCAAACTCTGATCACCGAAACAATAATCGATTTATCATATTTCGTCGTGCGACAGCTAGGTAAAGCTAAATAGTCCTGTCGAACATCACCTCTACGAAACCGTGGCTCTAAAGCACGCAGGTTCTGCTGGATTAACGGTTTTTGATGCAGATAAAAAGCTTTATAAATCAGGCACGACAGAAAGAACTCACGCCTGGACTTAAGTGATAGCCAGCGCAGATCCCTGTAATAAGGCATTACATGTTCGAACCGTGAGATCTTGAAGATGAAGCGAACACAGGCATTCATTTGTAACGGGTGCTTTATTTCCCGTACGATTGGCCCTATTATTTAAATTTAATAAACAACAAAATAGCAACAAATGATCTTAAAGTTAAATAGGGCGCCACCAGGATTATTTTCTCGGTTCCTGGAACCAGATGCCAGAGCTGAGCTTCTTATTCTACAGGGAGAGAGAGAGAGAAAGGTGGTCTGAAATAAATATATTTTTATTAACAAATAACCGGTTTTTATTCAACAATAAAATTTAACAATTTTGCTGACAAAACAGCTCACTTATAAACTAACAACTTATTATCTAGCGACGCGGAGAATTTACTGCGAAATAACGATATTTACAAACGACCCTTTTTTTTCACGAATGATGCGATGACTAGCTGGGATGTTCTAACTGACGGTCTCCCACAACCTGATTACGACTAGTTGGGCTTTTTCAGAACAAACGGTCTCCCACACCTGACTAATACTAATTGGGCTTTTTCAGAACTAACGGTTTCCCACACCTGCCTAAAACTAAACTTAATCCTGCAGTACCCTCACTTGAGCGTCTATACTGCAGTTTCTAATCTTATCACCGCGGTACCCCACTTGGTGTCTATACCACGGCTACTACCTTACTACCGTTGTACCCCACTTGGCGTCTATACAACGGCTTCTAACTACGTCGCGTTGTCCACTTGGCACACACACGCTCTAACTAAGACTGTCTCTGTCTCACACCTCTACACCACACTATCTCCACACACATAACCCACGCGTCTTCACACACACACACTGATTCTACTTTACTCTTTTATTTCCGGATTTACTAATTTAACTCCGAAAATTTACAACGTTAATATGTTATTAAAATTTACCAGTCATTAGCTTACAATAATAAAAACTCTATACTTTATCTTCACAAATTAAACAAATTTACTTCTTAAAATTCCGGCTTAAACCGACGCCACTTTTCCCTCCATTTTTAACACGGGCTTATTTCTGCGCATTAACAATTTCTTAGAATACTCTTTTGTATTTTTAACTAAATTTTTCTCGGATTTAATCCACACGAATAATTAGATTTACAATTTATTTTTACCGGAATAATGATGCTAATAAATTATTAGTATGAATTCGATATAAGACTCCCCTGGCAAAAATTGGCCATTAGACTAGATAATAAATTATAGTTTTACTTAATGTAAAAAATTACGTGCCTCAATTTTCCTGCGGGTGTATCAGTCTTATCTGCGTCGAAATTTAATGAATTAACTCTCAATAATTAATAACACGAGGAATAATAAATTCTTAGTAATTGAGAGTGACGATTGGATTAAAGATAAATTCACCTCGGTGAAAAAGTAATTTCAAAAAATTATCCGATGTCTTAAATTTCGAAAATGCGTCGCAGTTTTCTCAACAATCAATTCCAGTAATTAAAATTTATTCCGAATAAATTAAATAATTTTCCATAAATAATAAATAAAATAAAAAAGTTAATTAAGTGGTAATTCAATCGTTAAATTTTGTCCAAGTATTTATTTTGTAAATTTTACTGCGTCACAAATTCTTATGAAATGTGCGCTCAAAATGGACGTCGTTACTGCGTAGTTAACTTGACCTCGGGTACCGAGAGACGCTTGACTGGTCGTGAGCTATGACCCAAGGCTCAACACTACCAAAGTCCAATACCTGGCGTCAATTGGTTTGAAGGAACTCTTTGGTTGCTAATGGCTTCCTTCTTGGACTCCTCGATGTTACTTGTTTCAACACTACACCACTTCTCCCGACACAACGCACTGCTCAGCTATTTAATGGCTCCCCGAAATACCCCCTCCTACTCTCTTTCTAGGGCCGAAGATCGATGCGCCAAAATGCTAGTCGACAAAGTTATCGATCTCTGGCGACTTATCGATTAAGGGTAATTTACCCTGTTACACATTTTACGCTGAAGTCTGATGTTTCTTTGTCCAGAGATGTCAGTAAACGCTGCCGCGCAATAATCAAAAGTCGGAAAAATTAGCGTAGTGACTAGCTTCTTTCTCACTGGCAAATCAAATACATTACTATGCATTTTCAGCTGTGCCAGCGTCCTCATACTCTTCTTGCATATTTCGGCAACTTGTGGTGACCAGTTCAGGTTATCATCAAGTAGCACACCCAGGTACTTCACTGAATTACAGAATTCAACCAATTCATCGTTAACCCGAATTGCTGATACCTGAACATTACGGAAATCAGATAACTTCTGCGCCGTACCAAAGATCATTGCCTTCGTTTTACCAGCATTCAGTTTCAATCCATTGTATCTGCTCCATTTAGAAATCACGGCAATTTCATTATTTAAAGTACCCACACATTGTTCAATATCACAGAGCTTACAGTTCAAATAGATAACCAAATTATCCGCATAGAACAGATGCTTACAGCATTTCAGAAGACCACCAAGATCAGCAACGTAAATCGAGTATAACAGTGGGCCAAGAACACTACCCTGCGGGACCCCACTCACAGTACTATTCCATGTAGAAATTCGAACACTGTCTACACGTACTGCTTGCGATCGACCCTTCAAGTATGAGACTACCCAGCTAACTGCTGTTTCATTAAAACCCAACGCTCTTAACTTGTAAATCAGTATATCAAACACAACCGAGTCGAATGCTTTACTAAAGTCAAAGAACACTGCAACGTGACCATCGAACAGTCCATACTTGCGAGAACATCATCAGTTAGCTTTAAAATAGCATCCTGAGTGTTGAGTCAAGGTCGAAAGGCTGTCTGATACTTATCCTCGAGATCATGTATGGCCAAGTAGCTTGCAATTTGGTCATGAACACATCTTTCGAGAGCTTTAGATAGGGTACAAAGTAGCGAGATTGGTCTGTAATCTGAAAAGCTTTCTGGGCTACGTACTTTTGGCAGAGGCAGAACATAAGATTTCCTCCAGGCTGACGGAAAATCACCAGTTGAGAGAGAAAGGTTGAATAGCTCCGTGATAATGCACAAGAAATAAGGCAATAATATTTTGTACACCTTTATCTCAAATCCATCAGGTCCCTTCGAATTGGTGGTCAGTCTCATTTTGCCTTCTTTACTGTTTCACAGTCAAGACGATTGAATATAAAAACACTCCTGCTGATCAGTACACATTTATCAAGATAATCATAATTAATTTGCTCATTCATCACTCCAGCAACTGTAACAAAATAGTCGTTTAATCCACTTAGATCCAGATCAACACTTATATTAGACTCAGAACACTTAATTAGTCCCAATTTGCGAAAAGAATTCCACAAAGATTTAGCATCTTTACAGTTATGAAATTGTTGATTAAAGTACTGTTTCTTTGCATCGGCAATTCTACATTTAATCACTTTTCTCATGTTGACATATTCAGTGAACGCAAATCCAGATCTTTTGTAAATCCTGTACAGTTTTGATCGTCGTCGCTGTAGAGTCCTGATGTCCTGGTTGATCCACGGTGCTGGCTGGTCCCGAATACTAATTTCTTTAAGCGGAGCAACTGTATCTATGACATGAGCAATGTGACGATGCAAACCCGCATTCATATGATCAACTGTGTCAGAGCTATCTATGTCCGAAAGATCTAATCGCTGGAAAGCAGCATGGAGGCGTTCATCATCTACCCGAGCCCAGTTCCTGCACCAAATTTTCTTTTTACCCAACAAGGGCATGCTGTAGTCATACTGAAGCCAGATGAGATCGTGATCTGCCGGAAAAGACTCTGATGACTGACCCGCGGAAAGAACATGATCAGCATCATAAACCATGCAATGATCTATCCACGTATGACAAGTAGCCGTATGATGAGTTGCCTTAAAATTGATAAGTTGAAGTCCTAAGCCACCATAAAATTCCATCAGGCTATCCGCCTTCGGGCAGATAACATCCATGTTGATGTTGAAATCTCCAACTAGTACAGCATGAGAATAGTGCATCATAACATTTTCTACGTTGGTTAGTGATTGAGTTTGCTGATTATGAGAATTTTGATTAGTAGGTAGTTGTCGTTGATGAGGAGAGTTATGCTGTTCACGTTGATCATGATGTTCATTCTGAGTCGTGATATGTCCTTGATGACTAGTTATTGAATACGATGATGATGTAGCGTGATTTGTCGATGAATTAGACACATGGGATTCCGACCTGTTGTAATTGGTAGATGAATTCGATACAGAGGAGTACAGTGATCTTCTCTGTTGAATCTCTAATTTATTTTGTTGGGATTGTTGAATGTTATTAGAATGGAGTAATAACTGTTGCTGCTGCGAAGATGGTGACGATAATGAATCAGGAGTTACTGTTAATAAATCAGAGAGAACATGTCATAATAATTTTCTTTTAGTGATTTTTCAATACACATTACTCTTACCAACATATTGATAGAAGAGATCTATAGGACAGTAAGTGGATGAATCTTCATGTGCATTGATGTTTGACGGAGTTACAACAGATAATATTGGTGGCGTATAAATTGATGGCTGATAAGGAGGAGGATTGATATGAGTTGAAGATATATAATCAGAAGAAATGGAATAAGTTGTGTCAACATAATCATCTTGAATTTCATTTGTTCGAGGTGAATATGAAGAACTTGGACTGCAATGGTCATTTACTTCACGAGAGATCGTATTACTTGAGGAGTGGGTAGTATTCACATGATTATCAGAAATAGTATTCATTTTTTGATCTGAATTCAAAATTAAATGAGATGCTTCCTTATCAGACAAAACGTAGTTTACTGATACAATACATTGTGGTCGAGAACTTCGTGAATTATTCACAATTGTTACATATGACTGCATCCAAATCCATCCACCATATTTTGTTAAGAACCGATAATACTTCGTCGTTACTTGTGTTTTCATAAGTACTGTGAACAAAATAAAAAAAATATCGTAAATTAAACATTTATCCACGTGCTATTGTGCTAGAATATTATTGTGAAAAAAATCACAAAAATTATAAATGTAAAAATGATAAGCTTGTATAATTGAAATAAATCGATCAAGTTGTAAACTTTATAGTTATGGTCTTTAGCAAACTCTGTAGAATATCACTATATTCATAAAAATATGTAAGAAAATACAGTAAGCATAAACTTTCCAATCGCGCGTTAATATATTTTGTTATGATAACGTTGCTTGGGTAGTTTTGACGGTTCAATTGAGCTCAACAATTTATTACTAACATTAAATATATTTTTGGTAATTATTGGTAAATTTATTAGAACAAGTTTAATACTTTAAATAATGAATAATGATTAAATGGTCTAATACTTACATACTTGATGTGATTCGCGTAAATGCCAAATATCGCAGCCATGAACATAATGGTAAAGTGTTTTTTCAATTAGGTCTTGAGGATCATATCCGGTAAGTTCCCTGACACTGAAAAAGAAGTAACAGTTACAAATACTTATATTATAGATGATATGCCTAAATGGTCAATAATTCTAAAGTAAAAGAACTGTAAAAATTAGAAAAATGGCAGACCCTGAAGGCCATCCCTGCAACTTCCCGCTAATTCCATACCTAGGTGCTTAAAATAGCACTAATGATGTTTTTGAGCTCTCCGAGCTCATTCCATTATAATTTCATTAGAATATGTTGAGAATTCTTGATAAAATAACGCATACATAAGTAGGTTGTATTACACATTGCCTGAAAATGGTTCAATTGAACTCTTAACTTTGATACGATAACTAATAATTTTCAACAATTTTACGTTACACATGTCAAATTAGAGGTAATTTTGCGAGCTTCCACATGAATCTATTAAAAATAAGCTATCTTTTTTCTATGAAAAGTTATACATAAATGAAGTCACCGAAAACGTAATTTTTACTATTTTGATCATTTTGAAGAGCTACTATTTCTGAACTAATTCAAGGATTTCGCTTATTTTAAGGCTCATGCAAGCTAATTGTCTAAGGAATCTGTATACTAAGTTTAATTAGGATCTGTTGAAAATTCTCGATAGAATAACATTCATAAGTCGGTTTTACTACACATTGCCTGAAAATGATTCAATTGAACTCTTAACTTTGATAAAATAACTAAAAATGGTCAAAATGTCGATGTTTTGCACATCAAATTAGAGAATTTTTCAAAAAATAGCTATCTCTTTTCAATCAAAAGTTATACGTCAATGAAGTCACCGAAAATGTGATTTTCGCTATTTTGAAAATTTTAAATGGCCGCCATTTCTAAACTAATTGACGGATTTCGCTCATCTTCGAACTCATTCAAGGTAATTATCCAAAGAATATGTGTACTAAGTTTCATCTAAATCCGTTGAGAATTGTAAATGCTATCGTGTCCACAAGCCGCGTTATATTACATATATATATATATATATATATATATAAACTTTTGAACCAATGCTAATTTTGAGCCTTACTCGACTCAATAAGAGATAAAATGACAAAATTCCGTGTGAATTCCGACACAAGGGCCAATGCAATAGATAGGTTTCTACGATATCTACCTAAAAAACTATCTTCCTTCAAGAAAAATATTCTCGATCCAAGAAAATTATTTTGAAGAGAACTAGTTGTCTTACTTCAAGAAATTCTTGTCTTGAATTCATGTTTCTTGGATTGAGAGGTCTAATCACTCCGATCGATAACATTTTTACTTGGTTCAAGACTATATTATCTTCGATCCATACAAGTAAATTCTTTATACAAAAACGATTCTCTTCAATAAAGAATAATTTTATTTCAATTTAAGAATTACACCGGCCGACAAAAAAAGAGTAATCTGTACTTTTGACTGGACCTACTTATCTTTACGTATTTTAAAGCGCTGAATCCGAATCTGAAAATAGCAAAAAATTGCAGTTATTGTGAAACGGGATGACGTTTGATCGTTGGTCGCCCCTTTTATTTATTAAGGGCGCCACTGGATTTTTAGACTTAGTATCCAGAACTGGACCAGAACATGGAGTAATATATCAGGGTCGTGAGAGATTGCTCAAAGGAACCAAAACTTAGACATAGAAATTCGTTTTACAAAATTATTTATTTATCCAATCCTTTTTACAATTGAGATAATGGCCAATATAACAATTAATAAAATTTCATAGAATAAAACACACACCCCATTCTCATACAGTATATTTCGCGCTGTCCCCTGGACCCTCACGCTACTATACCTTAGTTCACGTGGTCTCCCGGACTCTCACGTCACTGCCCTGGACCCTCACGTCACTGCACATGCTGTCCACACAGCGCACGCTGTCTCCCAAACCTCACGTTACTCTAAGAGATCTAGCCCGAAGCCAGAGGAGTATACCATGAAACCGTGGTAGCCCCTTTACGCACACACACCCACACTATTTTCCATTAAC